TTAAACTACCAAAACCCACCTTGTTGCAAGCTCCTGGTATAAGTAAGCCCTGATATGGGACTTATAGGGATCCCTGCAGAAAAACGTAGGTTTTGGTGGGTTAAATTAAAGGAGGATTTAAGTTCTTGGGGCCTATGTTCAGCGCTTCAGGGCGCGCCATGAAGTCGGAACATGCTTAAAACGCTGCTTTTGAGGTCAAGAATGCGGAGTCCCAGCATGAATCACAGTAAACAGTTATAAACTACTCATCGGAGTTCTGATGGTTGGGATCTTCGTTTGGAGATGCATAGCTTTCGGAGGAATTGGAGTGATGCCCAAATTTGGAAGACAGGCAAATTAGGATGCCAATGCTTACCTGATGTCCGCAAACTATTACTACTGCTACCACTGTTACTATTATGACTTTATTACCCTAGTTACCCTAATTGCTATAAGATTACCATTATTTACCACTCTTACTACTGTTAGTTTTCTTCCTTGTTAGTACTTCTTGTGCCAGGACTATGATTACGGGGATGGGGGAGACTAAAGCTCAAGCCCGGATAGCAAGGCCGAATGTTCCGACGGGCTCTGGGCTCATGGCCGACTTCCCTAAACTCCTAAACTTCCGGTTTAGGGTTTAGGGTTTATAGGGTTTAGGGTTTGGGTTCCGGGTTTAGTTCAGGGCTGTTGTTGCGGCATAAGCTGCAGGTTTCAGCCACTCTGGCACCATGCTTCGGCTTTGGCTGGGCTAGGACTCAGCCAAATACAGACCAAGTAGATGAGAAAGGTTGGGATTGAAGCAATCGGGCATGCAAGCGAGCAAACAAAGAAGCCAACAACAGGAGGAATCGAGACTCGTTGTAGTACGTTGTAGCACTTTAACTACTTTGTAGTACTTGTTACAGACATGTAGTCAAGCCATGACTGACCTCGCTTCCCCCTGCCTGCTCCTGCGCAAGCTTCTGAGCAAGTACTTTGTCAGCCGCGGCCTGCTGCATAACTGGACAGATGTGAGATCAACTTTGCTGAGACGCCCTACCGCCGTGTATATGAACAGCAAAATTTCTGTACCATGTACGTTTAGCAGGCACTCAGCAGGCTGCCTTCTCCGCCGCTGCCTTCTCTGCGGCTGCTTTCTCAGCTGCAGCCCTCTCGGCGGCAACTTTATCTGCTGCGGCTTTGTCTGCTGCAGCTTGCTCAGCTGCTGCCTTTGCTGCCTTCTCGGCCGCCGCCTTTTCAGCAGCTGCCTTCTCTTCAGCGGCCTTATGGGCAGCTGCCTTTTCCGCAGCCGCTTTTTCAGCGGCCACTTTCTCCGCGGCCGCTTTCTCCGCAGCCGCCTCCTCTGCTGCTTCCTTTGCGCCTGCCCCGCCTTCAGCTGCTGTCCCTTGTTCTGCAGCCCTTTCGTTAGATGTTTTTTCAACTGCAACCGTGGATGCGGCTTCCTCAGCAGCGCCGTCACCTTCCGATTTGCCAACCGTCGCCATATCCCCGGCTCCCATGACCTCGGGAAGTTGCAAATGCACGAAAAAGCTGCATCATGTGCTTGCAAAGCATGCGCATGCACCGAGGTAGTCTGCCCATTCTTGCCCATGCCTACGAGTATCTACGGTCTGTGACTGGATCCAAGTCAAGGTGTCGCGACAAACATGCAAGCCTCCTGGTACAGACAGGTGCAAACCCATACCGGGACCATTGATTGGACCAAGTAGCAGCCTGCATTGCAGGCGCAGAAACAGGGCCTTGCAGGCAGCCAAACAAAGCAAGGCATGTTGCTTGCTACAATTTGAAGTATCATGTGATCGTTCTCCTGTTCCTGAGGATCGAGCAGACACGATTGCATTTTGTCCTTGTGACACGTGTATACACTTGTGACACTTGTGATGTACCATCACGGGGAGTCGCGAGCTTCCATGAAATTGGAGACATGCCTTGAATGTGCTTGTTTCCATGGCCACACGTCACTCCGGGCCAGAACAGCGACCTTTTCCTGTGTCTCATAGTGCTGCTTATGCACCAGCTAGCGAACCAACATAATCAAAAAGAAATCCAGAACCAATGAGGTTGGGAAGGATACAAGTACCACTCACGTGTGAATTTCCTGACCCGAAAAGCATTCCCGGAAACAGGTTACATATGACCTATAGAACTACCTGGCACAAGGAGTATTCTCGAAAACATTTTATGACCTACTATGACCTACATAGTTGCACAACCCACACGATGGATAACTCCATGTTTCGTTTTGTTGCGGCTGTTTTGTTCTCTCTGCTGATCATCGAAATGTACAAGACAAACTCGCTGACCAAAAAGTCCTTCGACCAGGTTGAAGCCAGCTCCAGTAATTGATGGAACTTTTGCTCAAACACCTTACTACGGAAACATGCTGCTTCTAAGCCATGAAGTTGTGGACTTATGTAAAGATACACTGGTATCAATCTGTGTTTTCTTTTCAACGCACCTGTCACCGATTTGCTGCACTAATCAGCGTGTTCAAAAACGTTGGGATATCGGGAAATCATGTCTCGTTGCTATTGTAGCTTTCCTCGTAGATTGAACACTTACCGAGCCACCTGAAAACTCGAAATGGAACCGCAACCAATCAACCCCTTAGTTCCCGAAATTCCTGAATGGCAGACCGACTGTTAATTGATTAAGCAAGCAGAAAAATCATATCCATTTACTTCTTCATGCTTTCTGCAACATACCCCAAAACAGCAATAAAGAACGAATCAACAGAACACACCTCAAAAGTCCGAGCTTGACGTTCTGCACCTGAAGCCGTAGATGCCACAGAAGAGCGGGGTTTCGATGCATTGTCACCACCTATCTGCTGCGCTGATCGAGAGTGGCTGTTCTGGGAACGTACAGTGAAGAGACACTGCGCAACATGTATCGCATCTGGCTTTTCGGTTTCGAGCATGATATTGATGAGTACTTCCACCATCAGTTCCATGACTCAGGGCTTCAGGCCAATCGGAATTTCACAGGAATACGCACAAGACGAGCAAAACTGCGCAGGGTCAACAACCAAGATGCAATAAACGGTTGCCAACAGCACTTACAACATCTCCTTGATGTACCTGTGTTATCAAGCTTATGTCACACGGCTGATGATATAACCCTGCATTACCTTAAAGACCCAAACCGCATAACTCGCGGGATGCTTGCTGCGCATTAGTTGAGTAACGGTTCAGCTCATATACAAACATGTGTGGAGTATGCTAGCATGTATCGCGTTATGTATGCCGCCTCAGCTCAGACATGTAACATTGTCCAGCCTGTCTTGGCCTTGCTAAGTCGCTTAGATTATATGTATGTACATGTGCATATATATATATAGAGTCACCCCCCCCCATGACAGACCGTCCCCTTCAAAACATCGTTCCCACTGGTGTGTTCGTGCTTTTTCCGGGGTATCGAGTTTGAGC